GGAAAGAGCCAGCAGTTTGCAAGGGTTGCAGAGGTAATGAAGGGCACAGAAATGTGGGCGCGTTGGGGAGAGTCCGGCAGCCTGCAAGACCAATTTGCCCATCTTTTTTGTGCCCTTTGTTGGAAAGAGCCAGCAGTTTGCAAGGGTTGCAGAGGTAATGAAGGGCACAGAAATGTGGGCACGTTGGGGAGAGTCTGGCAGTTTGCAAGGGGTGCAAAGATCAACGAAGGGCACAAAAATGTGGACATGTTGGGGAGAGTCTGGCAGTTTGCAAGGGGGGCAAAGATCAACGAAGGGCACAAAAATGTGGACATGTTGGGGAGAGTCTGGCAGTTTGCAAGGGGGGCAAAGATCAACGAAGGGCACAAAAATGTGGACATGTTGGGGAGAGTCCGGCAGTTTGCAGGGGTTGCCAAGACCAACAAAGGACACAGAAATGTGGGCAAGTTGGGGAGTCCAGCAGTTTGCAAGGGTTGCCGAGACCAATTTGTCCACTTTTTTGTGACCGTTATTGGTCTTGGCAACCCTTGCAAACTGCTGGACTCTCCCCAACAAAGGGCACAAAAAAGTGGACAAATTGATCTCGGCAGCCCTTGCAAACTTCTGTATTCCCCCCAACTTACCCACATTTTTGTGACCTATGTCCAGCAGTTTGCACAGGTTGCTGAGAGTCCAGCAGTTTGCACAGGTTGCTGAGACCAACAGAGGTCACAGAAACGTGGACAAATTGGTCTCGGCAACCCCTGCAAACTGCCGGACTCTCCCCAACTTGCCCACATTTCTGTGCCCTTCGTTGGTCTCAGCACCCCTTGCAGGCTGCTGGACTCTTTCCACTTTGTCCACGTTTTTGTGTGACAAGAGAGTCCAGCGGTTTGCAAGGGGTGCAAAGATCAACGAAGGTCACAAAAATGTGGACGGTAGAGGCGATATCTTTATTAGACAAACAAGACTTTTGCACAAAAAAAAAAAGAAAATCTTTCATTGCAAGCGCTCGGGCACAAACACCCTTCATCAGGCGTCGGAGAAAAGACTGTAAAAGTTCTCCCAGGTAGAAATGAAAGGAGAACTTTTACAGACTTTTCTCTGATGCAAGCTTTTGGGCACAAGCACCCTTCATCAGGCAAGTCAAGATTTTGTTTTGCAAAAAATCATGTTGCTCTAATAAAAGATATCACCTCTATCATGAGCCCTGGACAAATTGGAAAGAGTACAGCAGAGGGCAAGAAAAATGCTCTCTGGGAACCACTTCTGATCACAAGCCACTCCTGAAATCATTGCACCCCTGGGAATATTGCTCGTGTCGCTCAATCAGGATCCCTGTGTAGAAGGGGAAGTACCTTTTCTAACTTATATATATATATATAAAACCGGGGACGCAGAGCCATTTCGACAAGTCACTTTCCCCCAGATGGTCAGGCTTAGCGTGGAGCCAGGGGGATCTGATCATCTCGTTATCTGGGGGAAATGGTCCAATCGACTAAGTCTCAGGTCGCATCTTGAACTCCTTCATGAAAATCCTATGGGATTTTTTTTTCCTCTGAATCCAGTGAATCCCACCATGCCTCCCACATCACCACCACCTGGATTTGGGCTTGCGTGAGTTGCACAACACCTGCATCCCCAGATTTGCAAAAAAAAAAAAAAAAAAAAGGGGGGGGGGG